ACCCGAGGATCGATCTGAGCAGCGCCCTATGCAATCACCGGTTATCACTCCCGCTAAACAATTGGATTGTTTAATGCTGGGACTCGCCTTGCTGTTTCTTTTTCCGGCAGATTTCTCGAATTACATAACCGATTATGACCTTCCAGCGATGATCAGGGGGCAGAAGTAAGGCGTCATTTCACGTAGGTAAAATGGGTTGATCCTTCACGAGAACCCGATCCAAGTTCGGTCAAGAGCGAATTCTGACGCTTTTATGGACGAACCCCATGACCGGGAATTCCCGGTGGATTTCGGCCCTGAAACGGAGTCCCCGACCCCGGTGACAATTCCTTGAAGCCTAGGACCGCTCCAGGTGGCGACCTTCATATGGTCCCGCGAGAATTTATAATTATGCGCCCGCCATTTACGTATCACAAGTAGGTAAGCACTTCGGAAGCACCTGGAAATTCCCACGCGATGACCAGGATGAGGGATTCAGCGTTGGCCGTTTCAACCTTCTTTTTTTCCCTCCTTTTTTCCCAACAGAAGGACGGCTGCCAAACCAGCCATAGAGAACCTAAAATACATTATCAAAGCAGAAATGAATGAAAGAAAAAAAGAAAAAAACTCCCTCAGCCCGATTCCGTGGCGGAACCGGCGATCCTGATCTTTATAATCTCCGTGAATACGTGCCCTCATTGTGTTCATGCGAGACAATATCACAAAACCCCCTTGTTAGATGGTGCCTTGTACTCGTACAGTGCAGTACGAGCACAGAAAGAAAGGAGGGGAAAAAATAATAATTCGGATTTTGATCTGTAACTGTATGTAACTGTATGTATGTGTTTTCATGTAGCACACTGCAGCATGCATGAAGCCCCTTCCTTCCTCCCTTCCTCCCTCCAGAGCAGACGGGACACCGAAGGTGGAAAGTGGGGGGGGCCCAAGGCCATCGTACCGCCAGTTAAATCCACCCGTTGGAAGAAATTAAGCCAACAGCCAGTGGAAAAGAAAAGAGGTAGACTAGGTGAGAAATTATTACTATAGACATCCGCACAGCGGAGGAAGTCAGGAACCCAACGATGAGGCCTCTCTATAAGTACCGTATTCGTTCGACGATGGCGTAGAAGAAAAATTTCGATGAAAAAACAAATTGCCGGGAGGTGCCCCTGCCGAAATCCGGTTGGCGATTTGCAGAGTTGTTAGCTTGTGTTACGGACCATCAGAGGAGGCTCGGAACGAGTCCTCGAGCACAGTGAGTATCCAGGGTCTGGTCTTGTTTTCAATACTTAAATCCTGATCCCGACGACGACACGCGATCTTTATCGTTACTAGGGCCCAGAGCTACGCAATAATAATAATTATAATCAAAATAAATAATTATTATTGCTTTTTTTTCCTTTTTTTTTTCCCCTCCCCCTTTCTTATCAGAAGGGCTTAGGTGATCCGGGCTTATCTTGCCTATCTTCGAAAACTAGCATGGGGGGAGGGGGTTTCGCGGTTAATCCAAGGGGCAATAGGCGAGAAGTGACAAGAGGCGGGCCGAAGTATGGAAGTGGGAAGTGGGAAGTGGGAATATAGCAGGACGAGGGGAAGGGGAACTGTACTGTATCGAGATATGGAGCAAAGGCGTGGATATAAATTATTTCTCTATTACCGTAACCATCGTTGAAACACATACTGCGACTTTGCGGTGCCAGTACAGTACAGCACTGCGCTCTTCTGATACATTAATTCCTCCACAACCCCGTATGCTCATTGCCCCTGCCTATGCCCAGCAAAGTTTGTATTCGCATATCGCTATCATCATCACCATCGCCATCACTAGAGATCGTATGAATCTCAATTTAATCTATGACACTCTGCTCTATTGAACTTTTTCTCGGATTGCTTGGGTCATGTATGATATCTCTGGTGCTGGACGAATACCTTACCTGTATATCTCTCCCTCTGTGACACCCACACACCATCCAACCTTCAAAAGCTCACCTGCAGCAAGCACAATACCGGCACCGCATCCCGTCTATAAATAAATTCTGGTTTTCAGCTATGACATTACGATCCTCTACGAGTACACGAGCAAAGTATGATACCGTATTATACACCCACCACCATAATACTCCTAATACGGTAAATTTGAAAACTTGGACACCTAAGGACAATGCCGCCAAAAACAGCCCAAAAAACCCGACTCCGATAATGAAATCCATTACTTCTCAAAAGGCCTTGGAGGAACTTACTGAGTAATTAAGACACTGCAAATTAATGTATAACCCCAGACTTGATAAACTCTTCTGTTCCGTTGACATCTCAGCCCCACCCGCATTCTAGGGGTATCCGAGTTATCATCCTCGCCAGAAGCACCATAATAACACAATACGAGTACTGTATAGTACCGCACAGCCCCAGATAAAACAAGCAAAAGATACCCCTATAAAACCACATATTAGACAACCCCCCTCCCCCCCCTCCTCCCCAGCCGAAAAAGAAGAAAAAAACACACCAAGGGCAAGCACGACACACCGGCCCGGCCCTCGCCACGTTCTCCCCTCTTGATTTATCAATTGCTATCCAACTACAATACAACACCGGCACCTACAGTACCCAGAACAAGCAAATAGTGCAAGTACTGTACTGTACATTACCAGTACTTGTACCTGTTACCAACGGTACCCAACATCCAGGATTCGCAAAACATGCATCGCAAAAAATTACCCTATCCGGGGCACTTTAAACCCAGACCCCTATTTTCAGATCCCTCCTGCTTGTTACGAGTACGAGTACAATAGAGTACGAGGCGGTACTCACGTTGTACTTGTACATGTAAGCATAAGTCCGTCTGTTGACCTCTTGTCCTGCCGGTCGAAATCGCGTGTGATGTGGGTTTTGCAACACGGTAGGCCAGACGCTAATTTTTAGTAGCTGTAGTAAATAGTCTACCGTTCTCAGTGGCCTAGAATGCACTCGAGTCGACTAGAGGTAGCTAGACGAGCTTGCTCTCCGTGCCCGGTACTGCGCTCGCTACTGCTGATATAAACATATGGCGCCCGGCCGAGAAGGAATAGGAACTGCTGTCAGTTGCATGAATGTGTGTATGAATGTATGTGAACGGGAAAATAATTTGGACAGTACTGGTTTTCGCAGTACAGGACAGCACCGTGGAGCCCTGTTGTTCCATTGCCGTCCTCCCCTCCTTTTCTCCCAAAACGAGTGGAGGTTTGAGTGGTTATTGTCATGGGTGGGGTAGAGTTTATGCTCCCTTGTGACGGACGTACGCACGGATGGGCAGGCTGGAGTTTTGGTTATGATGTGATGTGATGGTTGTAGTAATCTCACGCATGCCCGTTCCTTGTGTTATTTGGGGGAAGGCGTATTCGCGGACGTGCGCATGGTATATGCTAAGATATTCAGATCTTGGTTACATCGGCGGGGGGATACAAGTAGATGTACGGTAGAGTAGCGTTTTCCGGACACGTGGAAACGCCGGCTAGGTGTAGGACAGCAGGAAAAGAAAGTATACAGGAAAGAGAAAAGGAAAAAAAAAATTAATAGCAACATCAAAGTCCTCTCATTCCTTTTTCATATTTTTTCCTTTTTCTTTTGTTTCCGAGGTTGGTACTATAACTTGGTACGAGTACAGTACACTAGCTTAACTTGGCGCATTTCGAATATCATAAGGTTCGGGAGGAGAGAGAGGGTATTTAGATTTTGGCCGGGGGATTGCCCCTCGTGTTCTAGGAGTCTGATGTCCTTTGTTTTGTCCCCTCCGCTGTGAATGCGGAGCTTGCCATATAATTTCGGTCCAAGCCAAGATTGCGTGACATTGTGTGTGTGCTCAATCTCCTACTGTATATGTAGATTTGAATACGCCAAGTAAAGGCGGTCTGTATCTATATTGTCCCTCTTCCCTTACCACTGTCTTTCCTGTGTGCTGCATTCTGCATTCACTCCATCCTAGAGAGTGAGGAACACGGGGGGAGGGGAGGGTCTCGAGTCTTAGTGGCGATGAGCAGATCCCCCCCGCGAGAAAAAAAAGATAGAACAAATTTGGTATGTCCCCGTCTGTTGATCGAAGTGAAGGTGAAAAATAATGTATCTCGCGGGGTGGGAGATTTCAAATCTTGCAAAAGATAAACCCCTAAATAGAGATAACATCTCAAGATACAAGTTGTGGCCGCTGCGCGATGGAGTAGCTATCTAACGATCTCCGTATCCAAAGTTTTGTTTGGTGGAAACATCCCACCACCACCACTCCCGAAACAAATTAACCCGCACCTTTCAGGCTAGCGCTTTTACTGTATCATAGATAAGACCCAACAACAGCAACAATGGCAGTGGTGTGCAGGCACCTGTGATAGGGAACATGGCTGATGTTCCTGGTAGAACATACAGTCCAGGTAAAAGTCAAGAGTGAGGGTGAGAGTGAGAGCTGGACCCAGATAAAGGACAGCTCTTAACAGCTAATGACCTGAACTCAATTCTACCGCTGATTGCGCATTTCAAACGGGGGGGTGTTTCCCCGCGAAGATGAGCGGGATCATAGCAGGACTTTAAGCGATCAACCGATGCCCCCGGGAGGGGAGGAAAGGCGCGCAGGGGTGACTACGACATCCGTAAAGCGCACAGCAGTGTTCTGTGCTGTAAGTCCCCCCGGGAACAAATTAGCCTTAGAAATTGCATTATCGAACCAGACACCTGTATGTGTGTCAGCCAATTACTGTCCGTAGGCGTTTGCCCGTTCCTACTAGACACCAGGCCAATCATATTGGCAGGAGATTCACGTACCCCAGTTCCAACCTCTTTTTTTTTGTCAATCTATTTATTGATTTTTTTTATAGTGCGGCTGTGGTTGGAAATATCTGACTGCAACCCAATGTTTCTGCGTCCTGCATTTATTGGTCACAGTGATGACTAGTCGGTGAGGTCCACACCCAAAATAAACGGGAAAATTCCCCGAGTAAACGACTTGACTGAGCTAGAAAATTCCAGTGGTTGCCTTAATTATGAAAAAACCAGACAGAGAAAACAGGATCAAACGGTTGATTGGCTATATAAAGAAGGTGCGCAAGGCCTGGGATACCATAACTCCTGTCGCACACAAGGTTGACAAGGGGAGTCCCGTTGAGTATAAAAAATGTCGATGAGGGAAATAATGACAGACACAACTATCCTAGCGCAGGAAGGAAGGAAAAAAAAAAGAGAAAAAAACGGAAATCCGGGCAAATCCGACCAACTAGTATTTATTGCCCATAGAGATTTGGAATGATCCTGTTGCACGGACACATCTCCACAGCCGCCAGTAGATTTGGTTTTTTCTTGAATGGAGGGCACAAACGATATAACAGGAGATTCAACGGATCGAATTAAAATGTGTGAGCGATGTATTGAGATGAATGGCTAGTACTCCTTCTGGAAAGTATTTTGAATTGGCTTCGATGACTATAGTATGATTAGTATGGTATGTGCCAAAGAGGATCCAGACGATCTTTGGGAAACCTACCTCAACTACATGAGCTCGTTAGCAAATTGGAAAACTCCAATAATTCACAATAAAAATGGAGGAAAGGAATCATACTGAATTTCTTTAGTTGCTCATCTAAGCTTGCGAGGTCGTCCTTACGCCTCTTGTTCTCCGCAATAAGCGCTTGCTTCTTGGCCAGAAGCTCTTTTCTCTGTTTTTCTAACTCCTCACGTACAGCTTTCTCGTTGTTTAGTCGCGCAATCATCAGATTGTGTGGGTTATCATTCTGGTGTTCGGGATTCAGAGCCAAGAATTCTTCCTCGGAGACTAAAGGCAGAGATGTGTACTGATGTCTTCGGAATATTAGCCCGGGTCAAGTGATAGTCGCGACAATAATATAACAAGAAAAGAAAAAGGTGGGGGGCAAGAGAAAGGGCGAAACATACGGAAATTCTCTACAGGCAGTAATCTCACCGCGAAGATGGCGTTGTTCGTAGTAGAGATTCTGAAGCTGTAGATGAAGACGATCGACCTCCCGGCGGACTTCGCTAGTAACTTCTTTGGCCTCACGAGCAGACATAATTGCCGCTCGATGTAGCCCCTTGATTTGGGTCAACAATGCATTGAGTTGCTTCTGAGTGCGTGATCGTTCAATCCTCTTATCTTCAGGGAGCTCTATGCCTTGTGTAGCTTCAATCATTGTGAGAATTTGGTGGCAGAGGAGGCGTGTACGGTCCGCCACAGCAAGACACTCCCGGAGGGCAGGGTCTGTGATGATTTCTTGGATGGTCATGATACCCTTGCTTTTCTCTGCGATAAAAAGTGGATGGCGGTTTCTCTCTCGAGTGTGTCGCTGTGGGTAGCGTAAAGAGGATGCGTGTGATGGCTGTTGGTGGAGCAAACAAGCAAGCGGTGAGTTTGGGGAGAACCAAATCACAAGAAATTCTCGGTGTTCTTGGCGAGCAGACCTTCTCGTTCTTGCTCCCCAAGAACCACATTTTTGACGCCCCACCCCCAATTTATTCCACATCTACTTGACTCCACCAATACTCCGCCCAATACTCTACCGCGCCTCAGCAACAACTTAACTACGCCGTAATCAATAGGTGCATGAGACATTGCTACTTCTAGTGCAAATACGGTACAATGCAATACATTCGCTTCTTGAAAACCCCCCGGTTTGTTTACACCAACGACGGGCGCTCTGGGACAGTATTAGCCTTGGTCACTATCACATCAGACCTAGGAGAGTCCTTTTTCCTTCAGGATGTGGCCTTGACGGCCAAATTACTTGACGGTAAAAGCTGGACATCTTTGCCACTTTCGGTTACTAGGCATACCTGGAAAGCTGGCATGAGAACCCTGAAAATTGAGCTGGACCTTGTCATCAAGCAAAAGGAAATATTCCACCGTGCTGTTGTACTCTCCGTCTCTAGCGAGCAATCTGCCGCCGACGATCTTTCGCAATTAGAAGCTGCCGGCTCATTAGTTCTCTCAGCATATAGCTCTCCATTTAGACCTTTAGGCGGCATCGAGGCCGAAGGGTATGTCGAACGGAGATTGACAATTGGCCGGAAAATGGCTTTACCGGTGTGGGAAGAAACCGGGGAGAGCATTGCCAGGCATATCTGGTATGTAAAGTAACCATCCTGATTCTTTTAGTGTACAAACTAGCTCATATGCGCAGGGACGGAGGGCTTGCATTGGCAGCATATCTTGCACAGAACATTCCCACCTCTAAGGTTGATAATGAAGGCAAAAGGCTAGATGCCCTTGACAAAATTCTCGGGCTACCCGAGGATCTTGAAGTTCTGGAGCTCGGCAGTGGGTAAACAGTCACCTTTGATATGGTTCAAACCGATAAACTTACATTGGAAGGTGCGGCATTGTTGGATTGGCTTTGGCCTCACTCTATAAGAATTGCCGCGTCACCTTAACAGATTTGCCTCTTGCAGAAGAGATTATCGTTAGGAACCTCAGGTGTTCAGGCTCGGAGGGAAACGTAAACTTTAAACCGCTGGATTGGGATCAAAATATCCCAGAACCTCACGGCTAGGCCAATCAGGCTTATTATGGTTGCGGATTGCACATACAACTCCTCTAGCGCGCCCTCTTTGGTTCGAGCGCTCGTAGAGCTCTCCAGGAGGTCCCCGGGTGCGGTTACATTGCTTGCACACAAAAGGAGACACGATAGTGAAGACGTGTTCTTTCAATTGATGGATAAGTCATTTCGGAAAATTGAGCAAATTCAATACGCCCTGGGCACCGATTCTAGCGAGGAAGCCACCAATGTGGATATTTACATATTCAAGTTATCTTGATACCTGCCTATCCTTCTCTGATCACCGTTCATTTTTGATCATCCCCATATCAGTCTATCACAGAAATTCCAGAAATCGATACTTTATTATGTTCTCATGTAAAAATAATTTGTTACTAGTACCAGTATTCAAATCGATACTAGTTCGAATGACAAGGCTTCGGTACCCAAGGACCGGAACCGTTCCACCCACCCCGTGAAACACGGCAGATGAGAAAGGCCGGTTGGGTCTCATCGGGGTGTAAGACAGCATGAGAGCCAAATGCTCGAGCACTACTTGCGGTGCTGGTTCTGCAGCTAAGCTGCGGGTCAAGTGCACTTCTCACAAAGAAACCCTTGCCTTGGGCTTCCCATAGGTACCATAGATACAGTGCAGTAAGGTGCATGCGAGTATGGTGCGAGAACAGTGGTGTCACATGGATATATTCTCTCTGGGGCATAGCTCTTGCGGCTCTAAGGCGCAGAGTAACAACCAATATCTGCTGTGCGAGAGTGGGCATCACTAGCGGCAGAGATGCCTCGGTTTGACGCGAATTCCTTTAATTCCGGGCGAGGGAATATCCATTCCTTCCAGCACCAGAAAAAACGTTCTCACCTACCATTCGAGGAATTCCCTGTGAAGTTCTGGTTGGTTGTTTGGGGATGGCAGAGAGAGGTTTCCCTTCCTAGATAAACTATGACACACCCTTTCTGAGCCATACTCTGCCTGGTAATACTCGAGTGGACAACACTCCAATTGATTCCGAAACTTCACCCTTATCAGATACTGGAGCCTGCCTTTCACGGATTCCGGCATGCTTTTATCACCAAGTTCGATGTTCGTATTCTACTTTACAAGTATCATATCGGAAATATTTCCTGATCCCAGCATAGGCGGTGACACGAGATGATTTTCTGGAATATTCATTTTGGGAAAAGTAATCAATAAACACCTAACATGCGCTCCGCCAACTCTGGAATTGTAGCACTGCTATTGAGATGACCACGTGAGCAAAAATACCTGATCGCAACTCTTAAAAAGACGTCTAGGGCCTATTTGTGATGGCTCCGGCCAAACTTGTTCACCAGGGGGTTCGGCACTGGGAGATAGGAAAGACACCGGAGAGAAAAAAATAAAGCAGGGGGGATACATTTTCATATCCGTGGTACGGGTAGGGGTTGAGGAGGCTGAAAGTGACAAAATCTGCAAGGGCGATCGTGGAACTTCTGGAAGCCAATTTCTTGGTTCGGCGACCAATTCAGCCACCTAGATAGATTTTGCATGGGACAAAATGGATTTTCCACGTTACAATTCTTTTTCCTACTCGCTAAGAGCTAGATGGCTTCGTTCCGGCATACAAGTACTGTAATCCTTGCTTCCCTTTCACCCCCTTTGTTGCCATTCAAGGGCGAAGGGTTCCTACTCAAGTAGGAGGGGGGCTCGATGTATCAACAACGGGGGTTCAAGCTGCGAAACCTGACGACAAAACACGCGGGTACTCGTACTGGTATTATGGTTCACCTACATCCTTCGTTACCCGGAGGGGGGAATGACTGATATTGCGTGTAATATGCTGCTGTTTCACGCGCACACCTACACAAAACTGATTCTTTGATTTCATCTTCTCGTGGTGTATGAAGCCCGAAAAGGTATCTAGGGGAACAGATTTGTTGGTTGTTTTTTTCCTTTTCTTTTCTAGCTATGCAGCTGGTAACGGTACGGCAGTCAGCAGATCTTCCAGCTCCCCGGAAGACTGTCAATAAGTAGCGGTACTTCGTTTCTTTATCTCGTCGACGAAGTACGAGTACGGTAGTCTCCTAGAGGTCACGTTTGTGATCAAGTTAACTTACCAAGGCAGGCCTTGCCATCAACCCCCTTCCAATACCGGTAACTTATAATGTGATACCTGACCACCATCGAACTCAACTCCATCACTGAGATGGGCGATCTCCCACACTCTCTCCTCTCGAACTTTCCCATCCCTCCGGGTGAAAAGTATAACCGGTCCCAACTATTTTCACGGAAAAATAGCGCCGACCACAGACAGGCAAAGCAGTCACTCAATCACTCTCTCATTCTCTCAAGAAAGGACAAATACAGGGAATACAGGAGCAGGCACGAGGAAGGGGCAATAATTGATTTTTTTTCTCTCCTCCCCCTATGAGTACTGTCACATCCAATCGATCCCTCTGAGACTTTGTGGCCAGCGCCCCTCCCACCAATTTTTTTTTCATCCACAGCCACTGGTCCAAAGGGAAATTTCCCTATCCTATCATAAAGGTGATACACTTCGAGAAAAGGGTTGAGGCTACAGGGTACCTGAATGCGGAGGCGAAGTAAGATTTTTTCCTTTCTTTTCTTTTTTTATGGATGGTGGAAGAGAATCAGGGGAATCGGGGGACTCGGCATGACCTAAGACTAAAATCGCAGTCAGTGAGAGAAATATCACTCGAGTGATGCAGGTTTGGACGAGGAAGAGGGGCAGCACACTAGAATTGACTGGCATCAGGCGGGGGACGGGTCTTGAACAGAGAGGGAATTTTGGGGGGGGAATAGATTCTCTTCGAGCTAGTCAAGACGAGTTCACTGGTTCGGAGAGTGATTTTTTATGTGTTTGTATTCATACCGGCAGCTAGTTTTTCACCCCTCTCCCTCTTTCTGGCCTTTTTTTAGACCACGGAAAGATCCAGAGAGGCCAGTGTCACTCTGCAGCTTTGCTTTGAAAACTCAGGTGGGTCACTCTTGATCTCCCACAATGCTTCTCTATTCCAAGAGCCCTCCTATAAGTCGGGTCGACGTTTACTCGAGCGTTGGATCAGGGCATTGTAAGATGTTGATTGATGACCGAGACAGAGACTTGGACAGCAAGAAAAAAGGGGGCGAGGTCAGTGAGATGGATGAAGTCTGTGGTGGAGGTAGTGCTTGGTTTCGTGCAAGCAAAGGTGTATGTATGTATGTAATGTGTAAGACATCATAAACCAAGAGTCTTGAGAGGGGGAAGAAGGAAAAAAAACACAGTGAAGGGGAAGCAACGTAACTTCTTCATCTACTCATCCGCCGTCACCTCCATACATAGTGCCCGCCTCCGAAGATTGTTAGTCTTGCCTTTTCTCCACCCCCCCCCCCACCTTCTCTCCTTAGCTGTCTGCCCTTCTCTTTATTTCCCAAGCATTCCCCCTTCATCTCCTTTCTTCTTTTCCTCCTCTTTTCCACTCATCTGTCCATCGACTTCATCGCTTTTCTGTTATTGGTTTATTTTTTCTTGCCAAATTGATTTCTTGCTTTGGTCCCTGCCTCACTCCAGAGAATAACTTGGGCTGAGCAAAAAAAATCAGGAGAAAGAAGGAAAAGAAAGGACGAGAAGAGACCGGTACCTCATTGGGGAGCATAAATAAAAGAAAAAAGTTTTTGCTGCACATACGCAGCAGTCATCTCAAAACATTCAATATTCTCCTGGATACTGGGTAGCTGGGTCATCTAGTGGACACACGCATCAGTAGCCCTGCTGTTTCTTCCCCGCTCCTCACCCCTCATCCATTCAGCCCGCTCTTTCACCTCTTTCACGGTAGTCCTATATCCAGGAACGGGGCGCAGGTTCTACGGTAGCGATCATCAGGAAAAAGTGGTAGAAAACTTTTGACACCCGACCGCATATTCCTCTCACACGTAACTACGCTCTCACCTCGCTTTACTCGGTACTCTCTTTGGCTCGCGCATTAGGGCATTCGAAATAATTTGTGTCTTGCTGCAAGCGCCAGCCACACCACGCCGACTAGCGGACCGACCAACAAGCAACTCGAAACATATGCCACTGGGGCCCGCGGCTCTTCTTTAAAAGCCTCCCTCCACGCTCCCACGCTCCCACTTCACGCCTTTGACTACCAAAGGCGTCAATCTATCGTCCACCACGGCTCGCAGATTCTTGCTTAGGATATCTCTCAAGATTTTATCTACTCGACCCTTTCGGAGTACCCTTAATAACATACCACCTCCGGAGACCTTCGTCCACAACAGTTGTTTTAGGGGTTGCTAGTTTGAGGCCACCAAAACTTCAATCTCAATTCCTTCCTCTGCTGCATAGTTCTCGCCATCGCTTCCTTCCTCTTAAGGAGGAGGGGTCGAGGCGGTCGCCCTTCGTCAACTTCGAGTGTGTTCGGTTTCGTCCACCTTAACAGGAAGTTTTGCGCTATCATTACCAATTCTTGGGCTCTTAGGGCTTGGATTTCCCAGAGTTTACCATCAATCAATTTCGACATATGAGTCCTTCTGAAACCGCTGCTTGGCCACCCATCGCTCTTTCCTCCCACTCCGAGAGTTCCTTTCAACTTCGGTGCCCTCAAGTTATGGCTCCTTCGGCACTTGCATCATCAAGCCCAATCTCCCCAGTTGCCACTCAGTATAGCTCTAAGAGACGCATCAGTTCGGCCGCCACCAACACAAAGAATTCTGCGCAGACTTTAATCTCTTGCGCGTTGCAAACACGTATCAACAGCATCAATCCCGATGAGTGTGAGGCAGGTGGTGAGGACGCCTTCTTTGTGGCAGACCTTGGCGAGGTTTACCGCCAGCACATGCGCTGGAAGATTAATTTGCCCAGAGTGGAGCCTTTCTATGGTAGGAATCATCATTCTTCATCGTATTCGAAAATATCCAACTAACTTGGCGCAGCTGTTAAGTGCAATGGTGACGAGAAGGTCCTAAGTCTTCTTGCTGCATTGGGAACAGGATTCGACTGTGCATCTAAGGCAGAGATCCAACAAGTCTTGAACCTCGGCGTTAATCCATCTCGCATAATCTATGCAAACCCTTGCAAAACAGCATCCTATATTCGCTACGCAGCTGAGGAGAACGTCCGTATGATGACCTTCGATAACGCCGAAGAACTTTATAAGGTGAAAAAGTTTTTCCCGCATGCCCGGCTTTTCCTTCGCATTTGCACCGACGATTCCAAGGCTTTGTGCCGCCTTAGTCTTAAGTACGGCGCTCCATTGGATTCCACTCGTCATTTGTTGGAATTGGCCAAGGATTTGCGATTGGACGTGGTAGGTGTTAGTTTTCACGTGGGGTCCGGGTCATACGACCCTACCGCATTCTTAACTGCCGTTCAGGATGCCCGCAGGGTGTTTAACGAAGCAACAGAGGTTGGCTACGATTTACGCACTTTGGATGTCGGAGGTGGTTATGGAAATGACAACTTTGAAGAAATCGCCGCAGTTCTTGGGCCGGCCATTGACGAATATTTCCCACCCAGCGTCCGCGTTATTGCTGAACCCGGCCGCTATTATGTTTCCTCAGCATTTACAATTGCAACTCACATCATTGCACGCCGTACTGTTCAGGAGGATGGGTCCCGCAACCCCTCTTACATGCTTTACCTCAATGATGGTGTTTACGGAAATTTCTCGGGCATCCTATTTGATCACCAGAAGCCAGTTCCAAAGGTATTGAAGCGTGGCGACAAATACTTTTTCGGATCGACCCCCACCGATTCTCAATTGACCAAATACTCCATCTGGGGACCAACCTGTGACGGCATTGATTGTATATCCTCTTTCAGCAATTTGCCCGAGGTTTTGGAAGCGGGCGATTGGCTCTATTTCAGTGACATGGGAGGTTTGTATTATCATCTCTCTGGTTTACGATGCAGGTGACTGATTGTTTATCTAGCCTATTCTAAGTGCTCGGCGACCAAATTCAACGGCTTCAGTGATAATCACGACGTTGTCTACGTTGTGAGCGATCCAGGAGCGTTGGCACTTCTCCCCTAAGCAGTTACCGATGAGCAACTATCCAGTTGCACATTGCGAACTTTCGCGATGGAAATTTAGGTTGGGCTATTATTTAGGCCAATTGTGACAACATTTTTTTATTTATATATTTTTTATATCTTTTGGCCTTAGGTGTTTGTTTCTTTTCTTAATCGTATAATATTACATGGCTATGTATAGATGGCTTCGAGCGTTTTTATTCTACCCTACACCTTGAATGTTTTCCTTTTTTTCCTTTCACTTTTGTCATTTTTTACAGACATTTCATTTGTCAAACATGTTGATCATGTTGTGGTTATTTGAGATTTCTTGCATTTTGAGGTTTCATTTTATTCTCGGGAAAAAGTTCTAGAAGGGGATCTCATTGACGAGTGAACGGAGAAATACACGTTTGATTGGTTGGTTCAGTCTATGTTATCGAGGTTGGAGGGAAATAATAAGTTGGTTGTATATTGGACCATTATTTTGCTGTAATTGATATCACAGTTTCATGCAGTATCATCGCTGCTCCGCCAGCCACCACAACCTCACTCACTTGGAGAGCCATTAGGCTCTCCATTCGATCCCCCTTACAAATCCTGTATAGTACCGGCAACGGTAATCTACCACTGCACGGGTCAGCTGCTCATTCACTCCCCGGCGCTTGTGCCAACCCTCAGCTCGACCCCCGCCCCCCCACCTCCCTCCTTCATCCAGTTCAGTAGAGTAGTAAATCACATCAAGTATGATACTGCCATACCGCAGACTCATCTCATCCCATCCTTCACCCATCCACTCATCCACTCATCTACACCGCACCGCACCCCCGCATAGTAACAATCCACCTGCGGCGTCTACGCATGGGCACTGTAAAAAAGATTACTGTAGGCCAGGGCCTTACTAACAAAACTGATTAGCTAACTAATGAGCCGACTCACCAACCGACAGCCAACATAGTACAGCATGGATACCGATGCAGCAGCACCGAAACAGGGACGACGAACGGTGCACTGGTTGGGCTACCGTAGTCTAGTGGTGAGACCGGTTAGGCCTAGCTTAATTACCCGGATGTGTGATTTGCCACGAGAGGTATCCTAGTTTGGGCGGTAAGGCGTTGGTGGCAGAGGCGGGGGACAGAATTACAGTAATGTACCAATCTTGCACCATAATATCATACTCGGGTACTTTCTGGCGGTGCGTACAGAAAGAAAGAAATTGGAGGTGGAAGAATGGAGGAAGCTGAGAGGTATTTGAGGATTAACCTTGCATAGTTTCCGTATCAGACTATGGTACTGCCGGATCCCACATGTGAGGCATTTTTTTTCTTTCTCTTCTTCTTCTCTTCTTCTAACATACATTACGGTACTTGTGTGTGTGTGGGGGGGGGGGTTCGTTGTATGATACTTGTAACGGTCCAGCTTACGGGGCAGAGGTTGGATTAGTCTATCGCGATGTTATCGCGGAGTTTTTGGGCTAAGCTTAGGCGTGGGGGGGGGGTATCCTACTTGTAAAAAGCGTTGGATCGATCCTAACTATCATACTAGTACAGTACTCGTACAGTACGGTATTAGGGTAAATTCGGGAGTTTTGCCTATTCAGACTGGATCCGGACTGGACTTGAAACTTGTTCGTGTACTGTATCGTAGATATCACTATGTACAGTACGAGTAGGTTAAGTACGGTACGGTACTTGTACGAGTACCGTAGCCTAAGAATTGTAAGAATGCGGACGGACATTGGTCCATCACAGTCAATTCCTATTATCACACTAGGGTACCCGCATCCCCCCAGAAACACACCAGGCAGGAGCAACGTCAGAAAGAAAAAAGGAAAGGGAAAAAAAAAAAGAAGAAAAAAAAAAAAAAAAGACCTCTACGGCAGTCTAAGAGTTTACCGTAACTGCATTATAAGTTTAGGTAGGTGCTACAAAAAAACACCCCCCCCACCACCCCCAGCGCGACCGACCGACAACAGCCTACGCCGGTCCAGTGCAGCCCTACGGACCGGACCCGGACTCACTCGGAAGTTCAGTTAGGTCGTGGTGGTGGTGGGGGGAACATATTATTAAGGTGACCCATCCTCTCATCGCTGGTTGATGTCACAGCTTTTCCTTGCCAATCTGAGGACGATCGGGAGAAACCCAGAGTAGTCTACTTACTTGTACAGTACAGTACTAGTATAGTACCGGCGGAACATTTTCCCGTCCTACACGGAGGTAAAAAAACAATAATAACAATAATAATAATAATAATTACATTTACGACATCATATGAGTCGGTTGGATAATTGCCAGTTGCGGGTGTGCATTGGTAAGGGTAGGTACGGTAGGGTACCGGGGGAGTAGGAAAAATGGTATATAGTGAGTTATCATGGATGCCAAATCTCTTTTAATGACCGAGCTGGTTCGGGAATTCGAGCCTCTTCTAAGCTTTGCCTGGGTATGTATGATATCGTCGTGTTATCGTCGTGGCCTTGCTATGTTCGGCCTTGAGGTTTATCAGCCGAGGCTTACTATATAGTATTATCATTATTATCGCCTTTGCGCTTTTGTGTCCCTCTTTACTAATTCGAAAAGTCTTATTGATTGCCGCTGGTGATTATTAGCGCTTCTTCGATTTCCTTGTGAAAATGAAAATGAACAAAGAAAAAAAGAAAAAAAAAAGAAGGGAAATAATTCCTAGTGGTAGAACCCCCCCTCAGATCGAGTTACTATCTATTCAACTCATTTGCCGTGTTCTGTGTTTGAATATCTTGGGCGAACGAGAGAGTCCGGTTTGGGGGGAGTTGGTGGTGGAGAGGGATGGCATGATAACCGTACTTTGGTGGTCACATAGGGACAGGCTTGGGTTACTTGATGTGCCTTGGTACGGTAAGTAAGGCTTCTTGCTTGGATCTTGTGGCGAACCGTGTGTTTTATGAGGGCTACAATATTACTCGTATGGTGCAGTACCGGCTCTATAAGTTACATGTGTCCGGGATAAATTGAGAGAATAGTTAATTTAGGCTGACCTGCCAAATGAATGATGCCTATTTTGTAGGAAAACATCTTCCCTAGCATCTGTACTCGATCGGGTGCTGGTTCTATACTCGTAGTCTAATAATATTGTATCGCATTATACAGGTATTTAGGTCCCTGCAGGAAGATTGTCCGGGAAGACTGAGTAGAAACTAGAAGTCCTCACATGCCTATGACGCGGGCTCCTAGCTCATGAGGTACGTTTGCTATAGGTACGCATATTACTACATAGCAGTTACTAAGACATCCACTGTGTATTCTCATGTTAACCGTGCACGGTACCTAGTTTCTGGGTTATTTGAAAATCTTGAACTCTAGCTATGGTGGGCGTTCTGATTGGCGATTGGAGGAAAGATTTCTCATAGCCAATCATCTTAATTGCTATTAAGCTTCCTTGAACAGTGTCACCACTCTATCATCAGGTAATTTGTCGACCCATGCGTGGGTGGCCGTCGGTCACTGGGTTGGCTTTCCCTGCTCCTTCGAGTACTCGTACACGGCATCACACCCCAGAGTCTCCCCGAGAGTGGGAGAGGGGATACTTGGATGTTTTCTCCACCAATTGGTACTCGGGTTAATCATCCAGGCACTGCATATCCACTTCACCGGTGGAGTGTGCAGTTTCCTTGTTCAATTCCGGCTCACCAACCAGCAATTGACCCCAGGGACTGGGTTCATATATCTCGTCGGGCGGGACCGAGAGTTTGGCGAGCGCGTGTGGGTTCGGTTACGCCCGTTCGACCTTCGAGAAGCCTGCTGATCCGGGTCAACTGGCAGACTCGGTCAGTAGTTCCTACGGGAGGGGAATTTCCCAAAGTAGTTTCTGAACAGCACATTTGACCCCGGGGGGCCGACCTTACCGATCTATCCACTCTTCCGCCGCGATTGCAGTAAAGCAACGCGGAGGGCTCGGGAGCAGCAAAGAAAAGAAAAAAGAATTCTGCATTTGTAATCATTGTCAAAGGGCCAACCCCATCTATACTCGTCAAGTATGAATCCGTTGGATGGATACTAGGAGGGGTTTTTCTCCCGTGGATGACTTGAAATATCGATCCCCCTCTACAAGCTTCTCCATATGTGAAATTTACAGAATTGGGGGCCACCTACGTGAACTAACCTGACCGAAGTTGCCTTGGTGCGTTCGGTGGGCTATGAGAATGCCCGTGTGTTCGCGCCCACTTTGGGTGACCGGTGTGCGGATAAACTGGCCATCCCGGATCAAAGAGCTTCAACCCATGGGCCCCGGAATCCAGTCCTGCAGGAGAGCCCCCAGGCGTGAGCACGGGATATAAACAGGTGTTCGAGGAGGAGACCCAAAAAAACGGAAGTGGAAGTTTCAATGCAGGTCGAGGCCAGAAACAAATAGGACGAAAGTAGAAAGATTAGCGCAAGAGGCCAAGATAGCCAGGAACTGCCAAGGGTGGTCAATGCAGTACAACCACCGCTACAAGCTGCATTTGGTCCTGTAGGTTATTGATCCGAAAAGGTCTAGGCTGGGCGATAACTGTATATTGCGCAATCAGCGGCTTACCGGCTGCCCCGGAAAGTAAGGTAAGCGAGCGAGTGAAAGAAGGTTTAATGTTGGAGCAAAGAATGGAGACGAAGGGGGAAGGGCGCTCTGTGGTTCCTTTGACAAGTTCTAGCTACTTTCCTGACCAGAAGGGATTTGGGGGTAAATTAATTGGGCACAGAGTAATCGGAGGAGATAACCGAGAACGGCCTGCCGCTAAACAAAAACGGAATATATGTTAGATATCCATCATGCTATGTGCCACGCCGTTTATCCCATTGGTTCCCGGGACCCAGAGGGACCAACTTCAAGGATTTGCCCATCTATGGTGGGGCAACTGGTGAGGCATCCACTCAATTACCCAAACTGTGCTTAATCCCATGTTAGAATTTTTTATGCCGCATCCGCGACACGCACGAGGCTAACCACTGCGGGGCCGCACCGAGCTTCATCTGATGGAGGAAGCTTTGCATATTCACAGACCCCACATCCAGGACAAGAGAATACCTGGCGATGCGAGTCAATATACGCTGGGACCTATATAGTACCACACAGGCGTTATATGCAGCAACTGACAGAGGTTTGGTACCGGTTTTGAAAGAGAAGTGCCGTGGTATTAAAAAATGGGCCCCGCAATTCCTCAAAGAGAAAGGTTGTGGGGGGGCGGTTGCTTTTGCAAGGCAAGCTCAAGGATTAAGCTCTGCACGATCTGTATGGCTGAAAACTGTGTGACCACAAGCAAGCACCTGGGAAGTGTTTATGCCTGGAGCACGGGCGAATGTGAACGTCGTGGAAGGTAAGTTGGTAGGACATTACAAAACGGGGAGGCGCTGGTAGGCGGTAATTGTCGGGGTCATAGGGGAGTAAACTGGAGAGAGTCAGTGGAGTATATAGCCAAGGGCAATCACCGGCACACGACTACCACCGAAATAATCGACATTTATGTTACTGGAGTGAAATTGTTTGGGAGTGGCGTCAGGTCAGCTCAATCCAACCGCCAACGCGACTAGATCT